GTTGTTGTTGTTGTTGTTGTTGTTGTTGTTGTTGTTGTTGTTGTTGTTGTTGTTGTTGTTGTTGTTGTTGTTGTTGTTGTTGTTGTCGTCGTCGTCGTCGTCGTCGTAATTGCAAGAGTTATAATTCTTATTGCTTGTGATGGTGGTGATTTTTCTGCTGTGGTTTTACGTCTCTTTACTTTGTTTTGTTGTTTTACTGTTGCTTATTTGGAGAGGAAAGTGATAAAGATGATTAAGTAGACCTAAATTATAATAATGATGTATATAAATATTTACCTTTTGATGTAGACCTTATTTAGAACCCTTTTAGTTGGTAACGGGGCAGGTCAATGGAGAGGAGAAAAAGTTGCACTTTAGTGGCTCATATATGAGGGTCGCCTTGTTTTCGTTTTTTTTTCTTTTGTTTGTTGGTCTCTTGTTTGTTTGTTTTTTATTTTTATTTTGTAGGCTACTTGTTTTTGTTGGGGGGGGAGGGGGGGGGGGTTAACACCGCGAAAAAAAGAGGTACCGGTACTGGCTCAGTTGCTTAAAAGAACCCACAAAAAAAACTTTGACTTCAGAGGGCAACCCTCAGTTCGATTTACCAAACAACAAATTCTTTCTTCTTTTTGTTTCATTGAAGAGGTGGAGATGAGGATGATTAAAAAGTATAATAATATAAGCATTGAAAACATGGGGACCTGGAAAGCAAGATTACTATGTTACATTTTAACGCATTCTACAGTATTCTAAAAGAGGTCTTATATCAGTTTTGTAGTTTAACAACTTATTAAAGTCCCCCTTTTTCTATCTGATCTGAGACTGACAGCATATAACCACATAGGTCTAGATCTTAGATCTAATATTATTATCATGCTTCAGTTGCAAATAAAACGGCACAGAATGCAAGAGGTATCAGGTATAGTCACATAAAGGTTTATGATTTCTTTTGGTGTGATTTAGAATCAAACTCCATCTAAGACATTAATCATAGATGACCTGCTCGATGTTGACCTCAGATTTTATGCTCTGTTAGGACACATCGTTAGCGTAGCTGATATCATGCTGGATTACAGAGCGGATGGCCCGTTTTCGAATCACCAACGGGGCGTTCTGAACTTTGTTGTTTTGGGAAGTTTTTATTAAGGCTCTCCATCAATTTTGCCTTGGTCCCATCGGAGCTGGATGTTAAATTCGAGGATGCCATACCTTTAAACGCCTTACGAGTGTTGAGATGGAGGGTTTTAAACCTATACAATGACTAATGAATAACGTAGGGAAAAGGACAAAACGGAACCTGTCTTTTGAAATTGAATTACAAGGCGATATTTTTATTCGACTTGGGAACATGTTCATCCATGTTTAGAAAGACACTGTTTGAAAATTCCATAAATTACACTATAAAAACAAAAGGATAAAAGAAACAACAACAACAAATCTTGGTTGGCTCTAATGGCCTTTCAACAAATGGGGGAAAAGGCTGTTATTGTAGCCTCATTACTAATGTTCTTTCCTCCTTCCCCATAATAATAATAATAATAATATTAA